ATTATGCTTGTATTATATTACAATTCGAAGCTATTTAATATATCAATCACAAATTTACCACTTTATGTTACTATTTGCCAATTTTCAAAATATCAAGAAAGCATTCAATTTCAGTTTTACTTAATGAAAGTTTAAGAAAAAATCTAAAAAAGCAAAAATCACTTGCAACTATAAGCAATGCAATAGATCACTTGTTGACCCATGAACAGAATTTTCACATAGATATCAAAAAACAAAAGGCAAACATTTAACAAGTGAAGAATTTACAATTTGGTATAGAATGAGAAATATTTCATCAAGTTAAATTATATCATTAAGCAATAATCAACAAAATCTAAGATTTAATAATACAAGTTCTAAAAATGATGAACCTGAAATTGATGATAATGATGAAATAAATAATATATTCAAAGATTATTTGGTACCAAAATATGAATTTTTACCAAATTCTAGTAAATTTTCAGATAGTTATTTTATGTAAATTTTGTTATGGATTATGAACTATAGAATTTGATTTAATTTATTGAATAGTACAACAGATACACTACTAAAATTTAAGAAATTGGTGCTAATTGAAATTGATATTAAAGAATTTGTGCTCTTTTTGGATCTTTGTATATCACCAACAATAAATTTGAATTATTAGATCAGTTTATTAGTTTTGTGATATATCAAAGATGCCATAAATTATACAGATAGGATGATGTTCTTGGTTTTCAAAAAAACAATCAGCTATCAATTATAAAGTGTGTTCATATTGAATTTCCCAATTCAGCAATAAAATAAAGAAAAACTTGCAATTTTCCACTGTTTATACAATTAGAATTATTAAACAGAAATGTAATTAATTGGTCCAATTTAATTTTTCATATTCTACTATTCAATATTAATTATCACAAATATATCAAAATCTGAATTTTGAATCTAATATTCAGCATTGGATAGATTGATCAAGTGTTAATGAACTTCTATGTGATATCTATGATAATGATATTTGAAAAACTTTTAAAAATGAAAACGCAGAATTATTTTTTAACAAAGAGATAGCTGATTTGTATTTGGAATTGATGTTAAATATCGACTGGTTTTAACTATTCGATAATAAAGTGCATAGTACTGGAGTTATATATGTGACTATTGCAAATTTGCTATATGAAATATGATTTAAACATGAAAATATATTGATTCTTGGTATATTATTAGGTCCTAGAAAATCAAGTTTACATCAAATAACTATTACCTTTCTTCAATTGTCGATGAATTGATACAGCTATGGCAAGAAGTAAAGCTCGATTCAACTACTAAAAATGAAAAGAAAAAAATAATTCAGGCAGCCTTAATTTTAATTTCGTGTAATATTCCTGTTGCATAAAAAGTGTATGGACACATTTTGGCACTAGTGTCATATTATGTCATCATTGTAAAAAGAATACCAATTATGAAAATAATCATTATAATTTTGGTGGCATATAGGATATAAATAAATAGTTTATACCAAGAGATTTGACAACATATAAATGAGCTTCTATTGAATAGAAGCACTGTAGCTCAAATGCAGTACAAAAACATTTTGTCAGTGAAAATCATGCTAGATGGTTCAAATTCTTTTTCCTATCTTATTTCGATCCAATTCAATATTTAGTTATTGATTTTATGTACTGTCTTTTCTTAGATATTGATAAATAACTCATTAAATAAATATGAATCGAAAAAGGAATACTGACGAATAATGTATTGAATGAAATACAATCAATAATGGAAATTTTTCAAATGCCATCAGATATTGGTCAAATTCCAAAAAAAAGTAAATAGTAGTAAAGGATTTTTGAAATTTACTTCCAATCAATAGAGAAATTTTTTCATAATATATGTAACTATCATTCTATGGAAGCATCTTCTAGATGTGGATCATCAAATTCTAATGAATTTTGTCAAAATTTGGCAAATCTTAATATGCTGAATTTTAAGGCGAAATTTGTTAAATAAGACTCACAAAAGATTGGTTGTCATGATTAAACTAATAGAATGAAAATATGGGAAAGAAAAAATTACTCTAAATCTTTATCTTTCATTATATTTATATAAATATGCATGTAATTATGGGTCATTGTATGCATTTTGGTGCTTTTTATTTGAGAAGATAAATTATATATTAGGTAGATTTTTTAAACAAATTTAATATTCGAAAGTAAAATTCTAATAAATTTTTTTAATCTAGGTTCATTGTCTAATAGTCACTGAAATATTGAACCCAAATTAATGTGAAGATTGATGAATAATTGTTGAATTATTAATCTAACTATATCCTATTCTAATAATCAGGAGCTTGAAATTTTAAATAATTAATCAAATATTGGCTCAATTTCTGAACTAGATCAGTTTTTGGTTGATGAGTTATATCAATTTTTAAACAATATATATAATATTCATGAAACAACAATCAATGGATTCAAACATTTTCCAGGTGAACTCTTGTATTTAAAAAAACCAAATTTAGAGATATCTGCCAAAATATTAGATCTATTAGTCAAATACTATGAGGTATCTTATAAAACTATGGACTTTTGAAGGCTATTTAAAAAGATAATGAAAGTTCAATAATTATTCTGAATAGAACAGATCAATATAATAGATACTGGATTGGAAGTGAAATATTCAATTCTGTTATATCCTTACAAAATATTAAGGGTTCATTTATATTAACCAGATTCATGAATTATGATGGAAGTGTCAATTTATATCTGTGACAAGTTTAATTCTTTTTTATACATTTGGTAAACTTTTCGAATAATGTTATTGAATATTGATTGGCCTTTATTCAGTAGTATAAATCAGTTATTTCATCAGAAAATAGATTTTATTTCAGATTTGAAAATGACATGAATGCTGAATTGTAGAGTACTGAAAAATTTTATCTATTTAGATGTGAATGCATAATCCCTATTTATAATATTTTTGACCAATTTATTCTATTTATATATAGAACCTCAAATTGGCAAAACTCTTATGAATATTTAGCTATAATTCCTTTAAATTGTAAATATAATATATAATTAAAATTTGACAAAATGTGGATTTTGATAAATGTCTAACAATTTTTTGAGGAAAATTTTAATGAAATATATAGTAAAAATGGTTAATATGACAGATAGTACTGAATTATATAATAGAAACTACTTGATTATTTATTTATGCTGAATTATATAGTAGAAATTAATTGATGATTTATTTATACTGAATTATATACTGAATTATATGTTGAATTATATGGTAAAAATTGATTGATAATTTATTTATATCATTAATATGTTGAATTATTTATTTTTTTTGATGAATGTTACATGAGTAGCATTATATCAAATAAATATTTTTCAACTAGTAATATCCACTTGGATATATCCAGAATTCTTAAGCTACATATTAGAATAGCAATTACAACAAAGTAATTATCAAGTCAATTATTAATACAATAAGGGAATAGAAAAAACTTCTACATGATATATAAAAAATATACTGCAAAAAATTCTATATACAAACTCAAATCCTACTAATAATCAAGATAGCAAGATAAATCAAATATATCTAAGATAGATAACAATAAGAACAAAAGTATTCAAGCAGTTTATCAGAACAGAACTGCAATACAAGTTTAATTAGGATTGTTAACAGCTATATAAATAGAATATATAATCAGTATAATCTTGGCATATTAATTTTCATTCCCCTGAGGAAAGAGTAACAAGCTACGAGGTAGTTCACAGCTTATCAAGTTTTATTATTATTAAAGCTATATTCCTATACTATAGCATTAGCTACTTTGTATAAATGTACTTTAATAACAATAATAAAACAAGGTTGCATCAATTAAAATATATATATATATATATTTCTTAAGATATTCAAATTTAATTCTTGCTTAAATAAAGAACCAGTTAAATTTACTTGTTTAATATTATAAATGATGAAAAAATTTTTTTTTCTACAATTCAAGTAAAGTAAGAAGACTATTTTAATTAAGCAAATTTTTTTGAAAAAAGGTTAATTTTTATTTTTAAATTTTTTGATAGATTTGAATTTTCCTTTCCTTCAATTATTTTCTTTTTTCTTTCTAATTTAACAATTTATTGGTTTTGAATAAATTAATTGCAACTAATTGTTGTCAATAATTTTGATAGATTGTAATTGATTTAATCATATTAGAAGAATATAATATTGTTCCCAAAATCTGACTTAAAGTATTTATATATAAAAACAAGTTGGTCACTTTGTGAAAATCTATAATTTATTGTAGATTTTATTTAATTTCTCAATAAAAACAAGCCATTGTAATATAATTGTGAGTTAGAAAAAAATTAATAATAAATATAAACTATTTCTAGATAGTAAATAGTTTTATTGTAGTATAGTTAGTATAAAATATAGATTTTTATACTGCTAAAAATCAGAAATTACAGTATTTGTTTAATTATAGTTGCTATTAATTATTAATCAATAAATTTGATTGGCTTTATATTAAGTAAAAAAGATATAATCAATTGCAAATTTATATATTTAATAAAATCGTATTTATCGTTTAAAAATATTAAATAATAACATATTGTTTTATATTATTTTTAGTAAGCCAATTTAACATAATTTATGTTAAATTCTTATAGCACTGATTAAATATATAAAGTTTTTATTTGCAATATGATTAGATCATAAACCAATTAGACATTTGATCCCATTCCAAATTTTGGAAACCAACCATTCTTCGACTCGTTTAACTCCTTCAATGGGGTTCTCCAATCCGTACTCTGCCAAAGAAAAGAGTCGCGCTTTTCCTCCATTGGCAACTACATTTTCATATATTCCCTCTGCTTCGGGCAAAAAATCAACCAAATATTTTGCCCTAACTGTTTCCATTGGATGTGACGAAAAAAATTCGGAAATATTTTCCAATATTATATGTGGTTTTCTAGTATCTTGTGTTGATATAGTGGAAATATCAGCAGAATTGTCTGTGTTTGTGGTATCGCCTATTGATGGTAATACCAAAGTGTCAACTTTATTCTTATCTTCTTCATCAATCATTTGTTTAATCCGCTGGTTAATGTTCGAAATATACTCCCACAATTCCACTGCTTTCTTCGGGTGATAACCTGATAAAGCCATAATTTGTAGTCCTATTATATCGGCCTCTTTTTCTTCCTTTTGATTATATCTACCTGATCCATACGATTCAACTAGTTCTTGAGTGACCGCATTTAGATAGTCATTTATTAAAGGCCCAAGAACAGATAAGATTGGCCATAATAAAGTGCGAGCTGTGTCTATTTAGTAAGTTCGAAGTGCTTGAGTATATATTGTATAACCTCCAGCAAAATTAACATGTGACACGGGTTCAGAATTTAAAGGTTTATAATTACTTGCCTGTTAAAATATACATAACTTGATTAAACCCAAGCGTTTCACTAGCATGCCGTTGTATAATATGCCCTATCTCATGAGCCAGAGTAACCGAAAGGTATTCTTCATCGTATTCAATTATATTTAGCCAACCTGTAAAATGATTAGTTATATTTAAAGATTGATTCTGCAAAATTATTGCATAAAATACTGTAATTACCCGTGAACACAAGAATCTTCTTCGACATCCCAAATGAGACGGCATTCATGATTGTATCATCTTCAATTACAAAAATTTCAAATGGAACTGGTTTATCATCTTCTTGTTTCTCTCCCGACATCCTTACACTAAAATCATCTGCAACAATATTCCCTCCGACTATACTCTTGCTCAATTCATCAACATTTTTAATACTTTTCAAGGTCATTAAGTCATCATTCAGTCCCTTCATTAAATTATTCATTACATGTCTAACAAATATAGTTTCAATTCTGTTATCCGGTAAAATTTTGTCTTTATATTTGTTGCTTTCGAGTAAGAATGCTTGATTGCAAATTTCTTTTTCTTCTTCGAGCGACATATAGCGAAATCTCCAACGATTTGTGTGTGGCGCTTGTTCTAATCCTACCAACATCAGCATGCAAAAACCTGTCAATGGCAGGACGGTAGAGAGAAATAAAAGTATGCGACGAGGTTGACCCGTTTTCGGATTCTTTCTTAAGGCGAAAGGTAAAAATGACAAAAAGATGTTACTGAGCGTACGTATCGCCAATGCTGCGTTCGCCGACTTGAATAAAAATAGGAAGGCTGGCAAAGGAGCCGCGTGAGCTTTTCTTGAGGCATGAAAACTACGTCGAATTGTTAGCGAACGAAATTCGTCAGAATGACGCACGGATAATGATGATCCAACATGTAATCTAAATTTTATTGGAAATTGGAAAGTTAAGGGTAAAAAAGGATAAACTTCTGAACTTTGTTTGAAAATCGATATATTTCTATTCTTTTTCGAAAGAAAAATACGTAGTTGCTGGATTCTGGATAACGAAGTGATTCTAATATTCATATGATCACTGAACATAGAAAGACCTCTTCGAGCTGCAGAATTTAGATAATTTTTTCGTAAAATGTTTACCATGATTGAAGGATGTCGCCATACAGTACAGTATGTTTATTAGGCATAGTGCGGCATTTTATTTCAGATTCACCCAATCGGAGTTCCAATTTTGATTTATTTACACTGTTTACTTCTTTTGGGTAGTCTTTTGGATTACCGGAAATTAATTATACGCATATACTTATATTAAATAATTAAATACAAGATCTCTTTCCACTGATCTTTTGACCACACATAAAAAAGATGTTTGCAAGAAATTTTTATATTTCTTGACTAATAAAGTCTTATAACTTTCCTTAAATCAACTTGAAGGAACACTTCAAGAGTCATCTTTACCTCCCCCCTTTCTCTTGTAAACAATCTTCTTCAAACAAAAACCTGACTTTTAGTGGCAAAAGTCATGAATACACCTTTTCTACCAATGGCGAGAAAGTTTTGAAAGGAAGAATAAATGAAGTGTTACTACTTATTCACTTACTAGTGAAACAATACAGAGCTTTTCTGATAATGAGAGTCTTATTTTGAAGGTAATCACCTACTTTCTTGTCATGTACTTTCTCTAAGAGTGTTCTTTCTTGATTTTTTTTGAAGAATTTTGCCTACTTCAGTTTAACCCTGAATTTTGAGTAGCACAAAGTTTCTCAAACAATGATTGGGTAATAAAAAACATATCAGTAAAGGAATGTAAACAAGCTCCTATTGGTTACCTAATATATTTGAATACATTTCCTCAATATCTATAAGAAACTGGGGTTTACTATAAGTCATATAGTTCTGGTGTAAGTAGATATAGGATATGAACATCTATGATATCATTGACTATATAAAAAGAACAGAGCTGGATTAAAACATATTGAATAGAAAACATTAGTCATCCACTTTCCTTTTTTACTTCAGTGAACTCAAATTAAAAAAAATGATCATATGAGATAGAATCCTTTTAGAAAAGTTTTGAATATCTATCACCTTTTCTTTGGAAATATATCTATTACCCTATAAAACAATAAAGTCCCCCTTCATGAACAATACTAGTCAACTTTTTTTTCTTTTTAAACAATTTTTTAGTTAAGCACTAGTAGAGGTTAAGGTTTCATATGAAGAATCCTTAACATTGGTAATATTAAATACTTTAGGTGAATTCTTGACACATTAGTTCCCACATATTAAAGATAGCAATAGCCACTTAATAGATTGAGACCTGAGCTATTAACAGAGGTTCAGTAGGACTTGAGATTCTAAGAAGTACTGTATCTATATATTGAATAGAAAAGTAATATAGCTTATATACCTCATTCTTATTATTATTTTTGCATAAATTAACAATTTATATTAGACAATCATATAATTATCTTATACTGGTTAGATGAGACATAAATAATTAATCCTTTATACTATTCCTTGATCGATAAATTCTTAGACAATATGAATAATTATTTATCCTGATTATCTCTAGATTTTTTGGTTGTTCTGCGATATACGGGGTACTATTATCACTGTGATGTAACTCGCGATATCATCACATTTTACTATTGA